TGTGGGACTCTATCCTGGGTCTCCAGGATCACACCCCAGGCTGCAGGCAGCTCCAAACCGCTGCGCCACCGGGCTGCCCTCTGGTAATATTTCTTGCCTTGAAGTTTACTTTGTCTGATATGAAAACAACTATTTCAGATATCTTATGATTATGCTTTCATGGTGTATCTTTTCCATCTCTTACTTTTAACTTGTCTATGTCTTTATGTTTTAAGTGAATTTTCTGTACACAGGATATAGTTGAATCTTACTTTTTTAAATGCATTCTGACAGGGGCACCTAGGTGGCTCAGTTGGCTAAGCATATATCTTCTGTTTGGGTCATGATCCCCAGGATCCTGGGATCGAGTCCCACGTCAGGCTCCCTGCTCAACAGGGAATCTGCTTTTTCCCCTCCCTATGCCCTTCCTCCCTGCTCAGGCTCTCTAGTCGTCAAATAAATAAATAAATAAATAAATAAATAAATAAATAAAATCTTTTAAAAAATGCATTCTGGGCAGCCCCGGTGGCGCAGCGGTTTAGCGCCGCCTGCGGCCAGGGGTGTGATCCTGGTAGACCTGGGATCAAGTCCGCCTCGGGCTCCCTGCATGGAGCCTGCTTCTCCCTCTGCCTGTCTGTCTGTCTCTCTGTCTCTATGAATAAATAAATAAATAAAAATCTTTAAGAAATACATTTGAAAATAAATTTAAAAAATTAAAAAATGGATTCTGACAATTTCTGCCTTTAATCAAAATGTTTGACCCATTTACACTATTTCCTCCATGAAGTGTTGCTAATCAGCTTTAACTCCTGTTGGGATACCAATAATTATAGTAGCGGATGTAAAATATGCTCATGTGTCTACATCCATCCCTACAGTAAATATATGGTGAGCCCATACAATAAAGCCCAGGAACCCAATAGATATCATTGCCCAAACCATTCCTATGTAGCCGAAGGGCTTTTTCCCTGAGTAATATGTAACAATTTGAGAAATTATTCCAAACCCAGGCAAAATTAAAATATAGACTTCAGGGTGCCCAAAAAGTCAAAACAAGTGCTGGTATAGAATGGGGTCTCCCCCTCTAGCAGGATCGAAAAATGTTGTAGTCAGGTTTCAGTCCATTAGAAGTATTGTAATTATGGCAGCCAGTACAGGTAATGACAACAGCAATAGGACTGCTGTGATTAGCACAGATCATACAAACAAAGGGGTTTGATATTGAGGCATAGCTGGGGGTTTTATATTAATAATAGTAGTAATAAAGTTGATTGCCCCTAGAATAGAGGAAACTCCGGCTAGATGTAAGGAAAAAATTGTTAGGCCTACTGATGCTCCTGCATGGGCTAGGTTGCCGGCTAGTGGGGGGTATACAGTTCATCCTGTTCCTGCACCTGCTTCTACCATAGAGGATGCTAGCAATAGGAGAAAAGATGGAGGGAGCAGTCAGAAACTTATGTTATTTATTCGGGGGAATGCCATATCTGGGGGGCCAATTATTAGTGGAACCAGTCAATTTCCGAATCCTCCAATTATAATGGGCATAACCATAAAGAAAATTATTATGAAAGCATGGGCAGTTACGATTACATTATAAATCTGGTCGTCTCCTAATAGGGTACCGGGTTGACCTAGTTCCGCTCGAATTAGGAGGCTTAAGGCAGTGCCTACTGTACCAGCTCATGCTCCAAACAGTAAATATAAAGTACCAATGTCTTTGTGGTTAGTGGAAAATAATCATCGGTTAATGAACATAGGTAAAATGGCTGATAAAAGCATTAGACTGTAAATCTAAAGATAGGGGTTTAAGTCCTCTTTTTGCCAAGTCCTGTGGTGAACTATTCATATTGAATTGCAAATTCAAAGAAGCAGCCTAGACGCTGCCAGGGCTTCTCCCGCCTTTTTTTTTCTACACGGCGGGGAGAAGGTAGATTGAAGCCAGTTGTTAGGGTATTTAGCTGTTAACTAAAATTTCGTGGGGTGGAAGCCCACCGATCTAGTAAGGATTTAGCTTAATTAAAGTGTTTGGTTTGCATTCAATTGATGTAGGATAGATTCTTGCAGTCCTTAGTGTTGTTAATCAGGGGTTAAGTGGATAACACTTGCTTAGAGCTTTGAAGGCTCTTCATTTGATTTAACCTAAACTCTTAGTCCAAGACAGATAGTGTGGGTGTTAGTGGGAGTAATATAGTAGAGATGATAATTAGTGGGGGTACAAAGGTTATCTTATTATAGATAACATATATACAAATACAGATAAAGTCTATTACTTTATTTTTATATCTGTACTTGTGTCCTTAATTCTTGACTTCCTTTGATCGAGAATATTTTAATATTCCACTTTATCTCATCTATTGGGTTTTTAGATGTACCTTTTTTTGGTGATTGCTCTAAGGATTACAATATGAGTCCTTAATTTATACCAGTTTGCTCTGAATTGAAATTAGTATACCTCTTCGTGTATAACACAATCATCTTACAATAGTATAATTCCATTAGTATCCTCTTCCACTTTGCTATAAAACCAACAACACATTGTTATTATTTTTAGTTTAGTCATTAGTCTTTATTTTTTAAAGATTTTATTTTTAAGCAATCTCTATACCCAAAGTGGAGCTCGAACCAACAACCTTGAGATTAAGAATAATATGCTCCTCTCTCTGTGTCTCATGAATAAATAAATAAAATCTTTTAAAAAAAAGAATAACATGCTCTATCAACTGAGCCAGCTAGGTACCCCTAGTCATTTGTCTTTAAGGAAATTAAGAAAAGAGAATAGTCTTCAATATAGAGTTGCCTTTTTCTAGTGCTTTTTATTCCTTCTTGTAGACCCAAGCTTTTATCTTACGTCATTTCTCTCAGCATGAAGAACTTCCTTACCTTTTGATATAGTCTGGGTCTTCTGGCTATGAATTTGTGCACCCAGGCATTTAATAAGGCTTGAGAATTTGCTCCAATCTCAGCTACCATTTCTTTTGCATTACACTATTCACTAGCAATTGTCTCACCCAGTCCCCAAGGCCCAGCATCTACATCTTGGCAGTCTGAAGGGGAACTGGGTCTGATGGTCATCTAAGAAGTCCCTGAGAATGATGCACTTGTAAATGCTTTCCACAGTGGCTCAAGAGCCAGTTCTCCTTCTGGTTATGCTTCCATGACAACCTTAGGACCACCTAAACCTTCTATTTGTGGCAGGAGTGGCTAGACTGTTGTTGAACTGAGTGTTGCCTCCTGAAGGCCTGAGATAGTCACCCTTCAGATCCCTTGTCTGACCTCACTATGGATTACAGGTAGCAAAGGGTGGCCTCTGGTGGTTAGAGAGGACCTGTCCATCCTATCCATCTTCCCTGTGCTGACTGGCCACTGGCAGCCACACTTCTCCAAACGTATCTCAGCCTCCCTGGGGTTTTGCTCAGGGATCTCAGCTTTTCCAGAGAGAACTTTGTTACTGTGCTTCCATGAGCCTTTACTGGCAAAGACATTTCCTTAAGATCAAGGGTCATGTCCGTTTTTAGTGTCTACTGTCAGGGCCTTAACTGCAGACTCTTGATTTGTCTGTTTTGTTTTGGTTTTTTTTCCATAAGCTTTCATGGTGCCTTCCTTGTCTTCCTCCTCCTGAGTTCCCTCCCCCAACGCTTCAGGAGCCTCCACACAGAACACACTTGCTATTTGCTGCAAGCAAATCTGGGGCGACAATCTCTCCTCTGTCCTGCGGTACAGCGTGGTCAGCCAGTGTCTCCTTCTAACTGGTTGCCCATGGGCACGTCCACTAACTTCTAACTCTTTGAAGCCTCAACCTCTCCATCTGTAAACAGGACTGTTGTGACGATGAAATAAGGACAATCACGTAAGAGCTCTAGCACAGTCTGGCACCTGGTGAGCCTCTGCGTTAGGTGTGTTTACATCCCTACCCGTCTTATGCGTCGTGGTTATGGCCCAGCTCTGAGACATCTTCCCTGACTCCCTTTCCAGCCTCAATTCATTTGCCAGAAGGTTGGCCCTGCGTGTTGCTGGATATGCAGGGACGTGGATTCATGTCTGTAGAGTGCTACAGGTTCTCGCACTTGGCCACCCAGGAGGGGAGGTCAGGCTTCAGACCTTAGCAGGTAGAGAGGCTGCCAGGCCTGGCCGGCGCGGTGCGGGGCCTCCAGCGCTGTGGCCCGGCGGTCGCCGCCCCGCCCCCACCCCCGCCCCGCCGCGCCCCAGCCCTGGGGCCGCGCGACCCAAAGCCGCCCCGAGAGGCTCCGCCCGCCGCCCTGTCCCTGCCATTGGTGCGCCCGCGGCCGGGAGGCGGGCATCGGGCCGGGCGCCGCTGACGCCCTCTGGGCCAGAAAAGGCCCGCGGGGCGGCCGCCCCCAGACGCACGGCGCGGCCGGGAGGGTGAGTGCCCGACGGGAGGCCCGGGGGTGGGGGCGCGGGGGCAGGGAGGTGCGGGAGGCGCGGGAGGTGCGGGAGGTGCGGGAGGCGCGGGGTCCGGGAGCTGGGGGGCCGGGGGCGCGGGGGGGGCCGGGGGGCTGGGGCCGGGGGCGCGGGGGGGGGCCGGGGGGGCCGGGGGGCGCGGGAGCCGGGGGGCCGGGGGCGCGGGGGGCGGGGGCCGGGGGCGCGGGAGCCGGGGGGCTGGGGCCGGGGGCGCGGGGGGCGCGGGAGCCGGGGAGCTGGGGCCGGGGGGCGCGGGGGGGGGGCCGGGGGGGGTCGGGGGGCGCGGGAGCCGGGGGGGCGGGGGCGGCGGGGGCGCGGGAGCCGGGGGGCCGGGGGCGCGGGGGGGCCGGGGGCCCGGGGGGCGGGGGGCCGGGGGCGCGGGAGCCGGGGGTCCGGGGGCGCGGGGGGCGGGGGCCGGGGGCGCGGGAGCCGGGGGGCCGGGGGGCCCGGGGGGCGGGGGCCGGGGGCGCGGGAGCCGGGGGCCGGGGGCGCGGGACGCAGACTGTGCAGACCCGAGCGCAGCGCCCGGAGCCGCAGCCGGCAGCGCCCCAGGGACCCCGTCCGGGGGCGCGGAAGCTTGTCAGTCCCGGCTTGTCTTCCAGACCCGGACTGCCGAGGCTCCTGGACGACGAGGAACCGCCCAGCATGGCATCGGAGGTGAGCGGGACCTCGAGTCCCCAGCCGGGGGGAGGGGCGCTCTGGGAGCCGGCCGGGCTGGGACCTGCACGCGGGATCCCCTGGGCCAGGCCTGCCGCGCTCCTGGTGACTGTCGCTAGCTCCAGACGACGGGTACCCCCGGTGCAGTTGCCCGAGCCTGGGAGACGCCTGTGCCTGTGGTCACTTCCCGGTGGCCGCCGCATCACTGGCTGCTCTCCTCCTCCCCTCCCCGGGGGTGTGTGGCACTCACCAGCCCACACGGGGCGTGAGGGTGGCCCTGACCTGACTTGACTTGCCCTGATAGTGCTGCTCCCAGCGATGGGGCAGAAAGGGAGCTGCCCACCCCCTCAGCTCCCTCACCTCTTCATTCCTTTCCTGGTGCCCTTCCTGTTAGTCTCCCCCACTGCACCCCTTCTGCTGTAGCAGCTGTCCCTGTGTAGCAGAGTCCACATGACTCTGGCTTGTGGAAATAACCAGGAGGCAGGGGACCATGCCTGTGGCCCCGTGGCCCCAGTGCCTGGTGGCTTCCCGGCTCACCAGCCTCACTTCCCTTGAGCCGGGGTTCTCTTCCTGACCACTGAGTAGCAGGAGTCTTAGGCACAGGTTCCTTTTCTTGGGCCTCAGTTGAATAATCTGGCAAGTGGGGAAAATAAGAGATTTTCTGAAGTACCCCCTTCTGTAAGGTACTTGATCATGAGGTCATTGCTTTGAACCCTGTTTGCTTGATGCCAGTGAAGAGAACCTGTGGCCGGGGAAGCAGGAGATCTGGGTTCCAGTCCTTTTTGGTCCTCATTAGCTAGCAAGGCACTTCCTCTCTCTGGATCTCAGTTTGTTCATCTGAATAAACTGAATAAGAATGCCTGCCCTGCTAGTTTTGGGATCATGGGGTTGGTGGGCTTGAACTTTGGAGGCAAACAAAGTTGGTTTCTGAAGCAGTCACCAGACTTCCCGAGGTGACAATGCCCAACTCACAGGAGGGTGTAATAGCATACACAGAATGCCTAGCCCAGGGCCAAGCCGTTGTGCTCTGTGGTAGGTGCTCAAAAACAGGTCTAACAGTAACAACGTTATTCCCCTCGTGCATTCTAAATTGGCTATTGCTCATTCAACCCCAACCAAACCAGTGCTCCTGCCCCCTTGCCCCAAAGGAATCATTCTGGTGTGCCCAGGTGTGCCCAGGAGTGCCCTGTGGCCCCAGATTGGACCTCCCCTTCTACTCAGAGCCCAGATGGTGACATCTCATTCTGATATCCTTCTGGGTTTGGGTTTTTTGTTTTGTTTTGTTTTTTAAGATTTTATTTATTTATTTGAGAGAAAGAGAGAGATTGGGAGCTTACATGCGGGTGGTGGGGGGTGGGTCAGGGGGCAAGGAAGGGGAGAGAAGATCTCAAACAGACTCCCTATGCCTCAACACAAAGTAGGCTGCCTTTATGAGATCAGAGCATCTGGTGACTTCTGCTGGCCCCAGGCCGTCCTGTGGGTTGGTGCTAATTGGTTTGGCTAAGGCCCCAACTTGTTAAGTCGTTGTTATTACTAACAACCCAGGCAGGGAGTCCAGGGACCTGCTGGAGGAGGCAGTGCCAGGTTCCTGGCTGAGGGGCGGGCTGGCTCCCTATCCTGACTGGCTGGCCCTGGTCCTCTGGCCCCCAGTAGTCAGGAAAGGGACCCACGTGTTGCTTTGCAGGAGAGCTAGGCTTGGCACACATGTAAAGGGCCAATGGACCTAGCTCAGAAGGTTAAGCGGGGGTGGAAGCTGCTTCTGCAGGGCAGAGTCATCAGGCAGCCAAGGGAGCTGAGCAGCGGGGGGTCAGTTCACAGCCTGGGGCCTGAGCACAGTGGAGCCCCCCCACCCCACCCCGTGCTGTACACAGCCCTGGCGCCTCCCTTGCTAAGAGAACTTAGCGAGTACCGGCACGGTACTATGCATGCACTTAGATTGTGCATAACTGAATGCTCACAGCAGCTATATCGGGTAGGTGCTACTACCGTCCTTACTTTATAGAGAGGTAGCCCTGAAGCTTATAGACATTATATGACATGACTGCAGTCAGGTGGCTAGGAGAGGTCTGGGACATTGCAGGGTGACGGACAAACACATATGTCCCCAGCAGTCATTATAAACTCCCCCTCCACAGGAAAGTTTGCAGCAAAGTAAAGTGCACACCTTCACCCAGGGAACACTCTCCTGATCCTTGGCATTCTGGGAGGGAGGACAGCTCCCCCGTGGGTTCTGTGCCCCTCCCCCAGCTTTCGCCCGCCCTGGCCTATGCACTCTTTCCAAACAGAGGTGTCTCTGTCCCACCCCCTGCCCTTGGCTCCCAGGGGCAGAGGGTCAGCTAGTGACCTTCTAGAAGGCCACTGATAACAAATGTGGCAGAGGCACTCTCTTTTGGAGAGGTGGGGGTTGGGATCTCAGACCCCACCCCAAGCTGTGGGAGAGAAATGCCAGTCACTTGAGCCTGCTGGGTTCTCTCCATTGCTTCCTTGCCTTTCCTGCTGCAAAAGTTCAGTGCAACAGTGCATGCAGAGAGACCCTGTTGGGGCACGGGGTTTGGAGTGTGGCTTCCGCATCAGACAGCTGGGCTGTCACCCTGGCTCTCCCAGCCCCAGCTAGGGCTCTGGGCCTGGGTTTTCCCTCTCTGCAGTGGGGTGGAACTGATATGTCTGTGGGTACAAGCAAGCAATTAAAATCATGCCTGGCACAGAGTAAAAATGCAATACACGGTAGCCAGGATTATTATCATCATGGTTGGAATATCAGCTGGATTCAAAGTCTGGATTCCAGAGTGGCTTCTCCCCTCAGTCAGTGGCAGGAAAGGGCTCAGTAATCCTGCCGAAATCTCAGAGGAGCCTTGTACCCCGCTGTCATGTCCTTAGAGAAGAGTCGTGTGGTGGGAGAGAATTCTACCTTCTGTGTCCAGCCACATTCCTACACGGACTCCCCAAGTGACTTCAGGCCAGTTCCTGATCCTCTCTGAGCCTCAGTTTCCCTATCTGTGCAGTGGGAATAATCCTGCCTGCTGGTTCCCACCACCATCAGACTTAATAACTGTTCTGTGGGCCCTGTGTGAGGGCGCTGTTCTCGAGGGTGGGAAGGACATTAATTGCTACTGCTCTCCTGGCCAGAGTGGGAAGCTGTGGGGAGGCCGGTTTGTGGGCGCAGTGGACCCCGTCATGGAGAAGTTCAACTCGTCCATCGCCTATGACCGGGCCCTATGGGAGGTGGACGTGCAGGGCAGCAAGGCCTACAGCCGCGGCCTGCAGAAGGCGGGGCTCCTCACCAGGGAGGAGATGGACCAGATACTCCATGCACTGGACAAGGTACTCTCTGCACCCGAAGCCACTGGAGCCCCTGCCCAGTCCCAGGCTCCTACCGAGTCCTGAGTGCAGGTTGCAGGACATCCAAACATGTCATTTTACCTTGTGATTATATGTCTATCGAGGTGTTCTTTATTTATTTAATTTTTTAAAGGATGTATTTATTTATCTCAGAGAGAAAGCAGGGAGGGGAAGGGCAGAGGGCGAGGAAGATAGAGAGAGAATCTCCAGCAGACTCTCCACAGAGCAAAGCTCAATCCCTTGGAGCTCAGTCCCTCGACCCCAAAATCATGGCCTGAGCCAAAATCACAAGTCAGCTGCTTAACCTACTAAGCCACCCAGGTGCCCCTATCAAGGTGCCCTTTAAACCCTGTGCCTTGCTTTGTCTCTCTGCATCTTTAGTGCCTCTGTGGCCCATGGCTCATGGACAAAGGGGAGCTGGGCCTGAAATGCTCCTTTGGGGTGGGGGCTACACCCCCCTGGGGAGCACTCACCCTGCCTGGGGAGCATCCCCAGGACTCCACTCCTTTACAGAGACACTCAGTGATCAGAGTGGGGTGGGACCAGGCTTGGGGCCCTGTGGCTGTGGCTGGCTGACCCCCTATCTCCTGGAGTTGTTGCCATCTGCTACAGGTGGCTGAGGAGTGGGCTCAGGGCACCTTCAAAGTAAACCCCAGTGATGAAGATATTCACACGGCCAACGAGCGGCGCCTGAAGGTATGGCCCCCTCCTGTCTGCCTGGCCTCCCCTCTCTACCTTGACCTTGGCCCCTCAGAGCCTCAGCGCCATCACTCTGTTCCCTTCATCACTGGTAGAGTACAGGCTAGACCTCAGAACAGGTGGCCTCGGCAGAGATGGCAGGGTCCAGGAGGAGGGAGGGAAGGAAGGAGACAGGGCTGGGGGGAACCAGGGCCTGGGTGACCCCATTGGGCTACGAGCAGGTGGACCCTGATCCCACACCTCCCTCCACCCCCAGGAGCTCATCGGCGAAACAGCAGGGAAGCTGCACACGGGCCGGAGTCGGAATGACCAGGTTATGCCAGCTGCTACGCCCCCTACCGCCCCCACCCTGCCCTGTGCATTCTCAACCTTGGGGAGCCCAGGGGGCAAGCGTAGGGCTTGGCCACAGTCCTGGCTCCCTGGTGAAGCAACACCTCTGTCTTCCTGAGTGCCACCCCCTCCTCCCCGCAGGTGGTCACAGACCTCAGGCTTTGGATGCGACAGGACTGCTCTAGACTTTCCGCCCTCCTCTGGGAGCTCATCAGAACCATGGTGGACCGGGCAGAGGCGTGAGTCTCCCGTGGACACTCAGGTGGCAGAGAGGGTGGGAGGGCAGCCGGGGTCTCCTCTCCCCTAGGACGGGTGGCCTGAATGCTAGATCTAGGTGGCAGGGGGAAGAGGGTTGAGGTCCCAGGCCCTGGGGCTCAGAGGCGTCCTGGAACTCCTGGACCAAGTGGGGCAAAGCAGCGGGGAATGCGGGCATTTCCTGCCGTGTTTCCTACTTGCACGCCAGCTGAGCTCAGTAGGCAGGGTGAGCTCACTCTCTAAGGCTTCGTAAAGAGGAGGCTAAGGTGCCAGGCACATGCCCTGCAGCCTGAGGACAGGGCTGGCTGTGTCCGGGGTGGCCGGGGTCACTTTTCAGCCACCCTGTGTCTTGTGTCCCCTGTTCCGCCTCCCACCCCCACCCAGCGAGGCTGGCATAGGACAGCCAAAGCTGCCTCCCAGTAGCCTCATCCAGAGTTTTAGCTTCTGTGACCTCATGTCTTTGGGGTTGGCTTTGCTCCTTGCACACCTGGCCACTTTGCTGCTGAGAAGTCCTTGTCTGGTGACACAGATAGGTTGACCCTTCCTCTTCCTGAGCTTCCTGTGATGTCTTTTTCATGGACCTTACCCTTCTGGGGGAAAACTAGGGCCTAAGAACCATCTGCCGGGGGGGTGCTAGGAGAAGCAGGGACTACAAGGTTTCTTCTTTGGGGGGATGAAAATGTTGAAAATCAATGTGGTGGGATACACACTAAAGTGTACAATTTAAATGGGTGAACTGTGGGTGAATTATATTTTAGTAAAGCTGTTTATCGAAAAAAGCAAGCGAAAACCACCACCCACAGCACCCCTGCCTACTTGGAAGTGCCCCCTGCACTTCCAGAGTCCCTGGGAGCTTCTTAGATGCTCACAAGTATGATCCCCTGCTGGGTGGGACCCACTCTGTGTCTCTCTTTTGCTCACACCACTGCTCGGAGCAGAGGACTTCATCACATTTGGTCCTATAGCCCAAATCCTACTCTGGGGAAACTCCTTGGCACCAGCCCTATCCCTGGATTACACCGGCCCCGTCCCTGATCACACCAGCCCTGATCCTGGAACACACCGGCCCTATCCTGGATCAGACCAGCTCTCTTCCTGGATCACACCAGCCCTGTCCCTGGATCACACTGGCCCAGTCCCTGATCACCCTGGCCCTGACCCTGGAACACACCAGCCCTGTCCCTGGTTCACACCAGCCCTGTCCCTGGCTCACACCAGCACTCTTCCCGGATCACACCGCCTTGACCCTAGATCACACTGGCCCTGACCCTGGATCACAGTGGCCCAGTCTCTGGAACACACCGGCCCAATCCCTGGATCACACCAGTCCAGTCCCTGGATCACACTGGCCCTATTACTGGATCGCACCAGCCCAGTCCCTGGATCACACCAGCCGAGTACCTAGATCACACCAGCCCTATTACCGGATCACACCAGCCCAGTCCCTGGATCACACCACCACTCTTCCCAGATCACACCAGCCCTCTTCCTGTATCACACTGGCCCTGACCCTGGATCACACCGGCCCACTTCTGGTCTTTTCCTTATATGTTTGTCCCTAGGAGCTCACTTGGTTTGTGCTGCACACAGACCCTTGGAAGGTTGGCCCTGCTTTTTCCTGTTGGGACCCAGGCCCACAGCATTCTGGGTGACATAGTCAGACCTACCTGGACTTCCTGAGCCCCTCAGGCCCCTGCCCCTCTTCTTCCCCCACAGGGAACATGACGTCCTCTTTCCAGGGTATACACACCTGCAAAGGGCTCAGCCCATTCGCTGGAGCCACTGGATTCTGAGGTGAGTGGCTGGGCCATAGTGCAGGGGCACCCTGACTCTGTTCATGCCTCAGGAGGCCCTGACCTCTTGCCCCTGGCTCTCAGCCATGCTGTGGCACTGACCAGAGACTCTGAGAGACTGCTAGAGGTACAGAAGCGGATCAATGTCCTACCCCTCGGGAGGTGAGTGAGCACAGTGCCTCTCTGCTCTGAGGGCCTAGTTGGGGGTGGGGGTTGCTGCTGTATGGTGAGCATGGTCCTTGGGGATCAACAGAAGAAGAGGAGGTAGGAAGGACCTGAGGAGGACAAAGGACAGATAGTAGCCTCTGTGTCTGGGGTGCTTCCTATGTGGAAGGGAGGGAAGCCTGCATGGACCCTCGGCTCTCCCAAAATGGGGATAGCCAAGCTAGCAGGTATGTCAGAGAAGGGCCAGAGCTTTCCAGAGAGATTCCAGAGAACCAGCCAGTTGCCCACAGCTTGCCATTTCTGCTCCATGGTGACAAATGTTCCATCAGCACAGCCGACTGGGCAGCAGCCCTGACAGTCTGGGCTTGGCTTTGGGTGTGCGTGTATGTGTGTGTGTGTGCCAGGGCCTGTCGGCCAGGAGCCCTAATCACCTGGAATCCCCTGATCCTGCAGTGGGGCCATTGCAGGCAACCCTTTGGGTGTGGACCGGGAGCTACTCCAAGCAGGTGAGGAGCCCTGCCCCTCGTCCCCACAGAGATTCCCTTTAGCACCTGCCAGGTGCCATAGACTCACCCGCAGAGGGGGCAGGGGTGTGGTTGAAACCCTCGTTTGTTGCCTATGGACACTGAGGCTAGAGAGACAAGAGAAGGTTTGTGGCAGGGGTGCATGGCACTGGGGAGACTTAGGGCTCCCATTTCCTTCTGGGACCTGTACTAGAGACCCTCTGGCCCCCTCCCTACGCTCCTCCATAAGGGGGTCTCCAGGAGAAGGTGGCGAGGCTACCTGTTCTGGGGGAGAGGAAGCCCCTTCTTGCCTTCCAGCCCAGCCCTGCTGCCTTCCCCATTTACCCCTCCAGAACTGAACTTTGGGGCCATCACTCTCAACAGCATGGATGCCACCAGTGAGCGAGACTTTGTGGGTGAGTCCTAGGAACCAGCACGCTTGTCCCCTGCACTATGCTCTAATTTGTCCTCCTGCCCTGGCTCCTCTCAGCCTCCTCCCACCTGGGGCTTCTCCAGACTAAGCGAAGACCAAGAGAAGCCTGGTGACCAGAAGGCCCACTCTTTGTTGTCCCACCAGCTGAGTTCCTGTTCTGGGCTTCGCTGTGCATGACCCACCTCAGCAGGATGGCCGAGGATCTTATCCTCTATGGCACCAAGGAATTCAGCTTTGTGCAGCTCTCAGATGCCTACAGGTAAGGCTGGGCCCTGCCCTACCATAGCTCTGTGCCCACCAGCAAGGCTTCCTTCCTCCCCACACCACCCCTGGGCTGACCTGGACTGCCTGCTGCTAGACTCCATCTGCTCCCAGTCAGCAGACCAGCCAAGGGGCAGGGGAGCTCTTTCAGCCCAGCATCTCTGTCCCCAGCACCGGAAGCAGCTTGATGCCCCAGAAGAAAAACCCAGACAGCCTGGAGCTGATACGGAGCAAGGCAGGGCGAGTGTTTGGACGGGTGAGCAGGGCATGGAGTGGGGGCAAGGCCTCTCGGCTGACCTGGAGGATCCTAAGGGAACTTCGAAAATGGGCTCTGAGGCCCAGCCTCCTTGTTCTCGCTCTTTCTTCAGTGTGCTGGGCTCCTGATGACGCTCAAGGGACTTCCAAGCACTTACAACAAGGACTTGCAGGTGTGAGGCTGGGGCTGCAGGGGCCCCCTGCACATATCCTGCGTTCCATTTCTCGGGGCCCTGGCGCATCCAGGCAGGGGCCCCGCAGAATGGCCCCTTCTCATCCTATCACCCAGCCCTCGGGTTATACGAAAGGCTGGGTGTCCCCAGTGGAGGGCAGTGGGATGCCTTGGTGGGGGACAAGACTGCTGGGGTCTCACCCCCTGCCACATACCCTCCAGGAGGACAAGGAGGCTGTATTTGAAGTGTCAGACACCATGAGCGCCGTCCTCCAAGTGGCCACTGGTGTCATCTCCACACTGCAGGCAAGCCCCCTCCCTGCTCCCCTAGGCCCCTGTACCCTGGGAGGGGTGTGCCCGGAGGTGATCATGGGAGGAGGAGGGTGGGTCCATCCAGAAGATCTGGGGCAGGGGAGGTGGGTATGTGTTTGCTCCTGCCCCTGGGACAAACAGTGTTAGCTATAATAGAATGGACATGGGTGAGCCTGTAGGGGTCCCATCAGCTGGCCTGACCAGATTTCTTTCTTAATCATTTATTACGGGAAATTTCAGTTCACAGAGTTGAGAGAATGCATAACTAATACCCATTTTCCCACAGTAATCAGCTCATGGCCTTTCTTGCTGTGGCGGTCTTTACCCACCACCTGCCACCACCGCCACTCCCAACTCATTATTTTATTTTTTTTAAAGACTTATTTTTTTAATAAGTCTTTTTTTAAAATTTTATTTATTTATGATAGTCACAGAGAGAGAGAGAGAGAGGCAGAGACATAGGCAGAGGGAGAAGCAGGCTCCATGCATCGGGAGCCCGATGTGGGATTCGATCCCGGGTCTCCAGGATTGCGCCCTGGGCCAAAGGCAGGCGCCAAACCACTGCGCCACCCAGGGGTCCCCCAGCTCATTATTTTAAAGCAAATTGCCATCTTGTCATTTCATTCCTAAACAGTTCAGGATGTGTCTCTAAAGCAGTGTTTCTCGAACTGTGGTCTTGGGACCAGCATCATCATCTGAGAACTGGACAGGAATACAATCCTAGGCCCCACTGCGGACCTGGATTCGAGACTCGGGGTGGGGCCCAGCAATTTGAAATAATTCCTCCCAGGTGTTCTGATGCACGCCAAACCTAAAGACTCTGAAAAAAAGTGCTGGCAACCCCAGGAGCGCAGCTAAACATCATCAATAATGATGACAAAATGGCTCAAGCTGAGAGAGCAGATAGGCTGGGGCAGGGTGCATCTGCCCAAGGCCAGGGCCATCCTGGCTAAGGGCTGGGGTGGGGTTGGCCAGCAGCTTTGCCACCCAGGGTCCCTGGCACTCAGCACTCCCCTCACCGGCATCCCCCAGATTCACCGTGAGAACATGGCACGGGCTCTTAGTCCTGACATGCTGGCCACCGACCTAGCCTACTACCTGGTCCGCAAAGGGGTAAGACTGGGGTGGCTGGGCTGGAGGGGGAGGTGATGGGCGTGTGCCCCAAGCCGAGGGTGGGGGCTCTGAGGGTGGGCACGGGCCCAACAGGGATCCGAGGGAGCCCAGTCCATGCAGCACTCACTCGGCTGCCCCAGATGCCATTCCGCCAGGCCCATGAGGCCTCTGGGAGAGCTGTGTTCCTGGCCGAGACCAAGGGGGTGGCCCTCAACCAGCTGTCGCTGAAGGAGCTACAGACCATCAGGTGCGGCTCCTCCCCTCCTTCTGCTGCCTCCTGGGAGGTGAGCCTGCCCCCGTGGCCCCCTGGGCCCTGGCCCACCTCCCCCTCTCTCCTCCAGCCCCCTGTTCTCTGGCGATGTGAGCCGAGTGTGGGATTACGGCCACAGTGTGGAGCAGTACACCGCCCTGGGGGGCACAGGACGCTCCAGCGTCGACTGGCAGATCGGCCAGGTGCGAGAACTGCTGCGGGCCCAGCGGGCCTAGAGCCCTCCCCACCCCGCTCCTCAATAAAGCTGGCTCAAGAGGAGGCTGCTGCGTTTTTCCTGCCTGGCCTGGCTCCCTCAGCAGTGGGCTTTCAGGAACCATCAAGAAGTGGAGAACATGGACAAGGATGGCAGGGGGAGATGGGGAAGGAGGAGAGGGGATTGGGGCCTCTGCCCTGCTCAGGCCCCACACCCTCCCCTGCAGGGCAGTTGGGTAACCTCCTGCCTGGAGCGTCCTGGGAGGACTGGCCTCCTGGGAGCCTTGATGGCACCTGATGGGCTTGGTTAACTGAGGCCTGGGTCATTATCCTTTCTCCCCGTGTCCTCTAGGCTCCCCTGCTCATTCTCCCCTTGCTTAACCCACCCTTCCTCGAACAATCAGGCACCATCACAGCGTGTCCTGTGACGGGGGGACTGGTGTACTTGGTGGTAGAGCCAGTCATCCAGCTAGCATGTGATGCTGGGCACTCGGTGGGCTTCGTACACACGTGAAGAGGCCTCGTTCACCCTAGAGGGCAGTGCACTGCTGCATGGTCCGGCACGGACCAGGAGGTGAGGGCCAGCGGGAGTCTGCCTCACGTTGCAGTCAAGGATTTACATTTGATCTGCAAAGGGTCTGAGGCCAGCTCTGGCACACACTAAATGTTCCATAGCGGTGAGCCCCCAGAGCTGGCAGAGACCTTTTCTATACAGATGTCGCCAAAATCCTGATAAGAAATGTCTGAAGTTCATGTTTTATTAAGAACAAAGGTAAACTCAAGGAAGAATGAATCACCCCTCCCAAGTGTTTCTTGGGAACAGTGGAAACACTTTCTAAACTAAACAGCCGAGGGATCCCTGGGCGGCGCAGCGGTTTGGCGCCTGCCTTTGGCCCGGGGCGCGATCCTGGAGACCCGGGATCGAGTCCCACGTCGGGCTCCCGGTGCATGGAGCCTGCTTCTCCCTCTGCCTGTGTCTCTGCCTCTCTCTCTCTCTGTATGACTATCGTAAATAAATAAATATAAATACATACATACATACATACATACATACATAAATAAACAGCCGAAACTCCAGCAGTGAGGACACCACACCAAATTCCAAAAAGGACCAAAGCCATGGGTCACAGAATGTTCTAGAGTATTGGCTGTCAGCTTGTGGTTCCTCCTTCCCCTCCTCCTCACCATCTGGAGATTTGTTAAAAAATGCAAATTTTCAGGCCTGAGACCTGCGAAATCAGATTCCAGGTGAGGGTCCAGCTGTATGTTTTTTGCAAGGCATTCAGGTGATGTGCATTCAAGTTTGAGAATCACTGATCTCTAGAATCTTGTTACCTACAGTTGCTGCAGACCACCTGACCTGGTCCAGAATCTGCATTTTTACGAACTCCCCAGATACTTGTACACATTAGAGTCAAAGTGCTGATCCAGGGAAGGCCTAAAACCTAGTCTCAGAAGTGAAGGAGGGACTTCTGTCCATCAAACAGCACGTAGGATTAAATAATAATTGTAGTAGTTACTGTAATACATATGACACAGAGCGGCTCCTCCATCGGGAGGGCACACCACAGTCTAAGTGGGAACTCTGTTTTCAGACAATTCTATTAGAAGTTTCTCCTTAATTAGAATCAGCCCCCCAGCATGTCCCCCCAACCATGCGCCTGGCCACACACCCTCCCACCTGACCGGAGAAATGAGCCTCTCCATTTGTGTAGCTTTTCTCCAGACTGTCCATGTTACTCCCGTGTCTGCCTCTTTCTATTCCGCCACCAACTGGCTGTTTACAGGAAAGCTCAGACTGTCCTTGGACTGGTTTCCCATTGCTGCTGTAACAAATTGCCCTAAACAGTGGCATAAAACAACATAGACATCATCTTGTAATTCTTGAGGTCAGAGTCTGAAATGCATTTTACTGAGACAAAATCAAGTGTCAACAAGCATCTGGAAGCATCTGTTTGCCTTTTCCAGTTTCTTGCAGCCATCTGCATTCCTTTGCATGTGGCCCTTTCTTTCATCTTTGAGGCCAGCCATATAACATCTGTCTCTAACTCTGACCCTCTGCTTCCTTTGCACATCTTTAGACTGACCTTTCTGCCTCCCTTTTATAAAGACTTGTGATTATACGGGGGATCACTTCATCTCAAGACTTCAATTTAATCACATCTGCAAAGTTCCTTTCGCCATGTTAGGTAACATTCACAAGTGTGAAGGATTATGACATTGGGAAATCATTGGGCTTGGTTAACGGAGGCCTGGGTCATTATCCTTTCTCCCCCGTGTCCTCTAGGCTCCCCTGCTCATTCTCCTCTTGCTTAACCCGCCCTTCCCCGAACAATCAGGCACCATCACAGCGTGTCCTGTGACGGGGGGACTGGTGTACTTGGTGGTAGAGCCAGTCATCCAGCTAGCATGTGATGCTGGGCACTAGGTGGGCTTCGTACACACGTGTTTAGGGACAGGATAACACGTAGAGGCATGTCAATGTATTTTTTAAAAAGATTTTATTTTTTAAAAGATTTTATTTATTTATTCATGAGAGACAGAGAGAGAGAGAGAGGCAGAGACACAGGCAGGGGGAAGAGCAGGCTCCATGCAGGGAGCCCGACATGGGACTTGATTCTGGGACTCCAGGATGACACCCTGGGCCGAAGGCGGCGCTAAACCGCTGGGCCACCCAGGCTGCCCAAGATTTTATTTATTTTAGAGAAAGTGCGTGGGCAGTGGTGGGGGTTGTCGGGGGCGGGGGCACTAGGAGCAGAGGGAGAGAGATAAGCAGACTGTGCTGAGCACAGAGGCAGATGCAGGGCTCCATCCCATGATCCTGAGATCACGACCAGAGCCGAAATTAAGAGTCAGATACTTGACCCACCAAGCCACCCAGGTGCCCCAAGGCATTTCAATTTAAAAAGAAAGAAATTTTAAGGGAAAAGGGAATCACTGGTTCTGAGCAATTTTTCCTTGTAGAATTCAGCCACTTAAAGTTGGCTTGGTTCTCTGACTCCAGCAAATTTCATCAGGATTTTATCAATTTTTCTCAGCTGAAATCACCAATAAAAATGATGAAGAAAGTAAGGCAGGTGGCTGAAGCCCTATGCCATATAATCTGAGACCTTTTCCAGCTTACCTTTAATTGGCATTTGGGGGTTATGTTTGCTCAACCATTCAGTAATGGTGTCATTCATTCTACATTTTTTCCAAAAATAGGTCATTTTTCAAACGTCTTGCTGAAATCCAGTTTGTTAGAGTATTCCCTCACCCAGTCTTTTTAGGCCTGGATAAAGGATGTTATCAAAAGTTCTGATCAAAAATCACTTTATCAAAAAGGAACATGAGGTTAGTTTTATAGGATTTGTATTTAGGTAAAACTGTATTGGGTTCCTGTGTCAATTCTTTCCTTTTTTTTTTTTTTTTTTTAGAGATTTCATTTGTTTATTTTAGAGAGATGAGAGAATGTACAAGTGTGGGAGGGACAGAGGGAGAGACAATCCCAAGCAGATTGCACTGAGTGTGGAGCCTAACACATGGCTTGATCCCACTACCCTGAGATCATGACCTCAGCAGAAACCACGAGTCAGATGCTTAACCAAATTAGCCACCCAGGTGCCCATCAGTTTTTTTTCTAAGTGCTCATTATCTACTCATTTTACTCATTCCTTACTTTATTTTTTAAAACAATAGCTTTATTGAGATATAATTCACATGCCACAAGACACACACCTTTTTAAAAATTTTTTTTATCTATTTTAGAGAGAAAGAGAACTTAAGTGCACACATAGGGGGCAGGCAGAGAGAATTTTCAAGCAGATTCCATGCTGAGCACAGAGCTCCATGTGGGGTTCCATCTCACAACCCATGGGCTCCTGACCTCAGCTGAAACCAAGAATTGGATGTTTGAGCCACCTAGGAGCCCCAAGACACACCCTTTTAAGGGTTCAATTTATTTATTTTTATTTTGATTTTATTGGAGTTCAATTTGCCAACATATAGCATAACACCCAGTGCTCATCCTGCCAAGTACCCCCCTCAGTGCCCATCACCCAGTCCCCCCAGACCCCTGCCCACTTCCCCTTCCACTACCCCTTGTTCATTTCCCAGAGTTAGGTGTCTCTCATGTTTTGTCACCCTCACTGATATTTTCACTCATTTTTTCTCTTTTTCCCTTTATTCCCTTTCTCTAATTTTTATATTCCCCAAATGAATGAGACCATATAATGCTTGTCCATTTCCAATTCACTTATTTCACTCAGCATAATACCCTCCAGGTCCCTCCACGTTGAAGCAAATGGTGGGTATTTGTTGTTTCTAATGGCTGAGTAATACTCCATCGTATACATAAGCCACATCTTCTTTATCCATTCATCTTTCGTTGGACAAGGGTTCAGTTTAGTGGCTTCTGGTGTGTGTTCACAGAACTGTGTGATCACTACAATCAATTTTAGAACATTTCATTGCCCCAAAAGAGAAGCCCACAAGAAACTTAAGTGCTTCAAAGGAAGTGAATAGACATTCATAAAATGGGAGAAAATATCTGTAAATCATGTACCTGATAAGGGTCTGGTATCCAGAATACAAAACGAACTATTATAACTCAATAATGAATTGGATATTATTTTAAATTTTATTTAATTGAATTGAAAATGGACAAAGTGAATAGATATTTCTCCAAGGAAAATATGAAAATGGCCAATAAGCACACAAAATGATGTTCAACACTATTAATCATTGGGGAAATGCAAATCAAAATCAAAATGAGATATCATTTCATACCTACTAGGATGTGAGTTAATTTTTTAATTTTTTTTATATAGTGTAAGGAAAAGGTCCAACTTCATTCTTTCCCATATGGAAATCTATTTGTCTCAGTACCATTTGTTTAAAAGACTCTTCATACCAAATTAAATTGTCTTGGCACCCTAGGCAAAAAACAGTTGACCAATGTAGGGGGATGAATTGTATGATATGTGAATTACACCACAAAAAAAGCTGATATCCCTCTAAAATAATCAACTAGTATTTTATTTTTCATTTTTAAGTTTTTATTTAAATTCGCATTAGTTAATTTATAG